CTTCCTGTTTGAGGTAATATCTGGCCTGTCAGATGAAGGATGTGTTGATTTGGAATATAGATCATCATCAAAAAAGCGAATAATTACTTCCTCAGAAGATGCACTTGAAGATAAGAGTTCAGTTGTTGGATGGATAGAACTTAACGATCCAGAGATCTTTCCAATTTGAACAGAGGGTAAGAAGGTTGTATCAAGTTGTGGCGACGCATGAGCACCACTTTGTGATGTATCGGTGAAAGAGAGCTCTGTTGTTGAGAGAAACGGGCTAGATGATTCAAAAATATCTTCACTTGGAGAAAAGGTCGCAAAAATAGTAGTCTTAGCAAACTGTGACGATGTGAAGGATGAATCAGAGCTCTCAGATCCAATGTGTTGAGACGTGTTGGTGGATAAGAGCCCTGTTGTTGAACTGTTGGGTATGGTTGGCTCAATAACACTTTCCATTCCAAAATGGGGCACAAGTACGGTGGTAGAGTCAAATTTTGGCGATGTAACGAATGTATCCGAATCCTCTGAGCCAATATTTGGGAATTCGTCGGTGGAATACAGCTTTGTTGTTGAAAAGTTCTGCTTAGGTGATTCAAGAACATTTTCAATTGGAGAAGAGGGTGCAAAAGTAGTAGCATTATCGAATTGTGGCGATGTGGAGAATGAATGAGAATTCCCAGATCCAATTTTTTGAGAAGTATCGGTGGAGAAGAGCCCTGTTGTTGAACTGTTGGGTATGGGTGACTCAATAATCCTTTCCACTTCAAAATGGGGCACAGGTACGGTGGTGGAGACAAATTTTGGCGATGTAACGAATGTATCCGAGTTCTCTGAGCCAATATTTGGGTATACGTTGGTGGAATACAGCTTTGTTGTTGAAAAGATGTGCCTAGGTGATTCAAGAACATTTTCAATTGGAGAAGAGAGGGCAAAAGTAGTAGCATTATTGAACTGGGGCGATGTGGGGAATGAATCAGAACTCTCAGATCCAATATTTTGAAAGATGACGTTGGAAAAGAGCTCCGCTGTTGAAAGGTTCGATCTAGGTGACTCAATAATCCTTTCCACTCCAAACTGAGGCACAAGTACGGTGGTAGAGTCGTGTTTTGGCGATTTAACGAATGTCTCCGAGTCCCCGGAACCAGTGCTTGAAAATTCGTTGGTGGAAGATAGCTTTGTTGTTGAAATGATGGTCCTAGGTGATTCACGAATCAACTCTACTCCGAAACGAGATACAAATATGGTGGTATTTTCATATTGTGGCGATTTAAAGGATGAATAGGAGCCCTCTAAAACACCATTATGCGATGTAGAAGAGGAAGAGACCCCAGCTGTTTCATCAATAAGATGATTAGTAGCGACACCTTCAAACCGGTTGATAAAACTAGTCAAGTTTGGTCTGTTCTGAATAGAAGAATGAATCTTATGTTTAGGTAGGCCCGGACTTAACACATCAATTGGAGGTAGCTCAGTAAATGGAGTATTAACGTTTGATGGTCCAGCCAAGAAGAAAAGCTTAAGGCCAAGTTCTTCTGGAGATAAGCTGATGTTAGTAGATACTATATCTGCAAGAGGCTTGGATAAAGAGATAATATTTCTGGGGATAACTGAACTAGAATGAGAGTATGGGAGCGAAGCATACAAAGAGGAGACCAAAGATGCCGTGGTTAGGTTGCTGTTGTCTGTCGACGAGTCGTTCGGCGATAGGTAAGGTAGTGGGATTCTAAGTGAACTGGTATTGTTGTCCGTATCGCGGCTATTTGCATACCTCTTACCAGAGTGCGGAACTCCAGTGCTTTCTATACCAAGTTCAGCATAAGCTCGAGGGGCAGTAGTCTTAGTAAGATCAATGGAAGAAATTGCCGAAGGCTGAATAATGTATGGGCCAATAGGTGCAGATGTGGATTCAATTCTGGACAGCTCAAATGAAAAAGCTTCCAGATCTAGAGATTTATTGACAGGTTTTAATGTCATATTAGGATATAAAGGCGATATAGAAGTTGCTACTGTAGCAAAAATATTATTTGTAGTAGATAGCATACTAGAATCATTTGAGTCAACTGAAGATGAATTCAAAATAATAGCTGCCTGGACGAAGGCTTCCGGGACAGACGAAGTGGACGAAGCGGATTTCGGATTAGGGAGAGTCGTGGCGGATGTGGTATTTGTAGTATCTAAGGCCTGTTCGACAGGGCTTCTGCTCGAAAGCGAAGTAAATTCGGAAGTACGTGTTGCTGAAGTCTCATTGGGAAAATCCAAAGGCACAAAAAACGCGGCTTTTTCCATTTGAAACCGATTATGAAGGGTAGGTGGAGTTGTGGGGAGAAGTGAAGTTACTCCACTCGATGTCTCATTCAAATACTTCAAGGCTGACGAGTTAATAGAGAATAGCGTTTCAATGCTAGATGATCTGACATAGTCTAAAAATTCTCCGTGTGTGTAAACGGAATGATTTAGATATGTTGCTGTTCCATTAATAAAAGTTCGCGGGAAAGGTCTGTGTGAGGAGCTCAAAAGAGAAGCAGAAGCATTAATAAAGGTGTCATTAATGGATTCTGTAAGCTCTAGAGAATCAGATAAACTTCCATTTTTGGTGAGATTTTCAATAGCCAAGGTCCCAGGATTTGATGCCATGAGTCCGAGTGAATCAGATGGTTTATAAAGAGAAATTTTAACCTTGGTAGAACGAGAAGCATCTCGTGAGTAAGATTGTGGCAGGGCGAATGCAGTAACTCTATCAATCGGTCTGAATAAAAGGTGAGTTATGAGGGAATGCACTAGCAGATGGACGAGAAAAGTAAGCATATAAACCATGATAGGAGATATCAAGAAACAGGTAGAACCATTATGCTGGCTAAGCACAATATCTGAATCAGAAGACTCTCAAGGTAGTCTCACATAGTATAAATGCAAGACACTACAAAAATCGTGAGAACACGAATTTCGGAGTACGCATATATGCAGAGATTTGCGAAGTTTACAGGGTAGCCTTACCACCTAATTTTCGAGGATAAGAAGTTTATAAAAATATTGTAGATCGATCATAAAGAAGGTAACAAAGTTTGATAGGACAAAAATGATTTATGTATATAAATATACATATATATATATATATATATATATATACGATATATATATATATATATATATACGATATATGCGGATCTCCTGATATTTAGTTGAAAGAATTATATCGTTTCACCATATAGCATTTGTCTAAGCCAAAGCAGCTATAGCTCTCCAACAATCGAAAATTATAGTAGGAACAACCCTATATCTAACGATTAGCAAGATGCTTTTTCTTAATATGCTTCATTATTTTCTCCTTATCTTATGTAGCTGTGCCTAAAAGTTTAATTTTTGTCTTAGTGCAACGAGTTCCAAAATGTTACAGGATCATCATGGTTTTGTTTTTAGCGGTAAGGACGATTAATTATTATATAAGAAACAAAAATAATGGTTCTTAAGATTTGTTATTCGACAATTTAAAAATGTTCCAATCTCTCAGTGTGACTCGTAATTGCAGTGCAAGAAAGAATAGCTTAAACGTAAGAATCATCTTCTCACTTTCCTACCTTAATTCGTATTTTTAAGTGCGTTTAACATGTGTAGATGAATTTGGCACAAAATTTTAATGCACGTTTTCGAGTGAAACCGAAAAATGTGAAATGAATGATTTGAAAAATTGACGTAGAAATATATAGATAGAAGAAACTTTATAGAAAAGAATAAGAATATTTAGGAACAAAACCTTCGCAGATACACCTAAATTCGATGACTCAAGAGAGAGACAAAGCATGAGAGAAATTTCGAGGGATATTGTGCAGTTTTTGAGTCTCTAAATTAATACGACCAAGTGATAACAATAGGCTTTGTCCTATCCATAAATAAACAATTGTTTTATGCTGCAAATAAATTGATTTTTATAATAATACATAGTAAATTGTGTCCTATTGCAAGCACTAGTGGCACTGCCCA